TAAATTCCTATAATTTATGCAGACGCACACATAAATAGTTATGATTTCGTTTAAGTTGATTTTTTCCCTAATGACATGTAGATGGCTTTTTTTTTATAAATTTTATTAAAACTAGGAGATGGTATATAGAGTATTAAAAAATATATTTTATAAAATACGGTAAATGCTCATTCGTTCTGTTTTACGAAATTTGTCATAATATAGAATAACCATCGATAACTTATTAATCGTATTAAATAATATTTGAATATATATATATATATATATATATTCACTTGGTACTGTTCAAAAAAAGTTTTTTCAGAGCAAAAAAGAGAAAAAGTATTCGAACAATTAGGAAATTCAACTTCAAAGAGATTATTAATATATGGGATGGTATAAATAATTTTAAGGAATTATTTATTTGTAAGTTTATCCATATATTTATATATTGGCTTTATATATTGAACCTCATATAATGAACGTAATTTGACACAAGTATCCAATTTAAGTAAAAAATATCCTGGTTTTGATCAACATGGGCATTTGTATTTTTAGAAGAAAATAAAGAAAGAAAGAAAGAAAGAAGAAGAAGAAGAAAAAAAGAAAAAAGAATAATATTTACCCAATGACCATTAAGAAATTTCTTTCTCGCTGGAAATGGAAACTCACGAAAGCAAAACAGCTTCGTAAATAATCTCAAATGAGTCCATTTACCTGAAAAGCACGCAAAGTTTCTCAACCTACACTCAAGATCTAGGATCTACGAGAGCTTTCTATCACCTCGTAGATCTTGAAGGCCAGTGCGAGGGGGCCGTGCCGTCGCATTAACGAGCCTCGAGACTAGGTAGTCGTGGAAAATTCCTCGAACAAAGGAAAACTTGGCTAATTGAGGAATGCGGAACATGTGACTCCGCGCTACGGAGGATTAAGCGAGAGTGGGAAACAGGAAACAAGTCCTTTGACTGACTGAAAGCTTGAAAAACTTGGCGAGCTAAGAAACGAAATAATTATTACATTGGTGCAGCGAATCAAATCTGAATTTAATCTTGCCCTTCGATGTTTATACATTTATTTTTTTATTTCTGCCCTTGGAAATGGTGTATAAGTTGTAGTGGTGCCTTTGTCGAGATTGTCACGTGGACGAATAAGTAGTAATTTGGAATGTTCTGCTAATACTACTATTGAAAATAAAATATGAGACGTTTCATCGACACATACTATAGCATATTATTATAAATTTTATTTATTTTTTTTTTTTTTTTTTGTATATAAAACACGATGTTTACCTTTTTTCATTTATTCCCCAACAATGTTGCTTTAAAATGCTTATTTATGCTCTCTATAATATAATAAATAATCCGTAGTTTATGATTCTTTTGGAATATTTTGTTAGTAAAATTTCATAGTTTGCTAACAAATGCAGAGCAATAGACAATTTAAAGAATAATACATAATAATTCATAAGACTCTAATGATTGAATATCATTTTTTTTTAAAAACATTTCACTTAAACATATTACAATTAAAAATTATTGCCACCATAATATGGACAAATAAAAAACACCGGATATATGGCTTAATTACCTTTATTTAAGTATATTTTAACATTTTATAAAATGTACAAAAGCACGTGTGAGTGAAAAATTAACATCGCAAATCATATACGTTCGTTTCTATTAAGCAATTTTTGTTTTTACACTTATAAGCTCTTAACGTTCATTATCCTCTGAGTCACCTGGACTGTGCATTCAAGTACATAAGTTTAAATATACAAATTTCTTGTTTTTTATATACTTATTATAAAGATTATATCTATTAAATCTGTTTCGTATAATAATGTTATCTCATTTCCTGATATTCCAATTGTATTATTAAATTAATTTACATTATTTTTATTTTAATGTATTTGGAAATACAAGTTATAAAATTATAACTCTGAAATGAGACGAAGAATTTACTTATCAAAGGGTAATTCTAATCGTCTTTAAATTCTCCAATTAATCATTACAATCTTAAAACATATATGAAACTTATAATTATATGATTATTATACATTGTGTACTCTATAGCCGTCAATGCAAATATAAATATCATAACAATATTGATGGTGAACGATGGTTTTTATCAATTTTTAATCGATAATTCGTATATTTATTTGATAATAAGTTCTTATTGCGGAAAATATATTCCACCTCAATTGACGCTATCTTCCTATCCTAATTCCAAATTAAAAAAATTCTAGTTTCTTCTTTTATTTCGTATGCACATATTCAGATATATATTTCGAAATGTGCAAGTTGCTCAGACTTAATTTTACTTTCTCCTGGTTTGACGATAGACGTACGTACAGGCAAATGCAACAAACTATTTGCTTAATATTTTACAGAGACATTTATAATATTTAAAATAAAATTTTAACTGCCATTTCACCGCGTTATAACGATTTCATCGTTGACTGACAAGCTTATAGTCTAAAATATGTCATTCTCTTGGATATTTTATACGAATATTAACAACAAGTGCACTCTTATGCAATGCATATCTATGTAAAGGAATATTGTAAGATGATAATATTTTAAATATCAAATATTAAGGAAACTTATAATAATAGATATTAATATTTACTTTGTCTTAACGATCAGATTTTCCAATACTACAAATTATTTCCCTATTTTTTATATAAGGGAATGTCTAAAAGTTTTTTCCATCGGTAGTTATAATATCAACTAGTAAGACATTGAATTCCTTACATCTAAATCCACGTATCGATATCCACTTACAAATGCCTGTGCGTGCACACGCGCCCACTATCACACATAAACGCACGCGCATGCACGCGCGCATGCAAACGCGTAAGCACTCTTTAGTAGTATTGAAAAATGAGTTTAAAAAATTATTTTAATATGTATATTACAATTTGCTTACATAATGCTACATGCACGAGGAGATTTTCCTTGTAATATTTGACGTACACATATGAAATTCTTTAAGGCACAGTTTTTCTGTTAGTTGAAGAAAATTCAAATTCATCAATATTTATTTCATATTTAACGAAGCAAATTTTGCTCCAAAACAATTAAGTGTAATTTTTCATCAGTTTTGAGCAACAACTTTTGTTTTTTCAAACAAATCTTTCGAACTTGTATATAATATATTGTTAATCAGCCGTAAGTAATAATATTATTTAATTTTTCTTAATAGCGCGTTTCACAGTTAAGACAAATCCTGGAATGTATTATGATTCATTTTACAATTATATATAATTAACAAAGTATCATTAATTACGACAATATATTAAATGAAAATAAAATTGATGTGTTAATAATAACAGGTACAATTCCACTTTAGTTGAATTATTGCGCGAAACATAATTTCTGTAGCATATATACTATATTATAACTTTGCTACATTTTATATTTCTTTTTTTTTCCCCTTTAAATGTGTGTTTATAAAGATTTGTGCACCCGAGTTATAAGATAACGAGCTATAATTTTTAACAGC